TCCGTGGGGTCGCCTTCCGAACCAAATTAAAATGATTCAACTCTGGTTTTTTGATCCCCCCCCTACTGCTTTGTCCGCACATCTTATTTTTTGGCCGACTAACTTCAAACGAAGGGACAGAGAAAGACAGTCCTTTAAATTCAAAATTAATCACTGCGCTTAATTAATTGTGTGCCCCGACCCGCTGTCATCTTCCTTTTCCGCCTGTAACCCCAGGCACTTTGGGAGGGTCTCGAAGGTGCGTGGATCACGGGAGTCAGGAGACTCACGCCCCTCTGGCTAACACGAGGGGAACCGTTCGCCTACCTCAAAAAACAAAAAAACTTCAGCCGGCATCGTTGGCGGGCGGCGCTTGCCTGTAGTCATCTCACGTCACGCGCGCTGAGGCAGAAGAATGTGTGAACCCGGGAGGCCAGCCGCCTTACAGTGGGTGAGCTAAGCCTCGTGCCACTGCACTCCAGCCCTCGGGGCCGACCGCCTCTCGTCTCACAAAAACAGTCAAGGGTGTGACAACCTACGATGTCACACAGTAATTTGGAAAACAACACTGATGCTGAGTAACAACGTCACATTCACCCTTTTCGTCTTCGAGACAGGTCTTGGTCTAGGTCCTCGCGCAGGCTGGCCTGCCATGGCTCGCTGCTCTCTGGCTCCCTGCAGGCCTCCATCTCTGGGCTCCCAGTGATCCCGCTCCTCCCTCCCCGCTTCAGCCTTTCCAGGTAGCTGGGCTATACCGGTCGCGTGCACCACACCCGCTACTTTTGTATTTTCTGTCAGACGAAGGCCGGCGCTCCGCCATGTTCTCGGCTTGTCTTCGAACTTCCCGGACCAATGAGGTCTGCCCCTTCTCCGCTCCCAAAGTCTAGGATCTACGAGGCGTGAGCCCCACAGCCTGGCCCAAACCTTATTATTATTACTATTATTATTATTATTATCTATATACCTATTTTTTTGCGATGCTGAGTTTCGGCTCTTGTGGCTCCAGCGCCTGGAGTGCAGATGCTGCGATCTCAGCTCACTAAAAACCCTTCTGTCTCGCGCGCCGCCCGGGTTCAAGGATTCTCTGGCCTCGGCTCCGAGGTAGGCTGGGCTAACAGGCCACTTGCCATCACGCCCGCCTAATTTTGGTATTTTTAGTAAAGATACACCTTTCATGCCAGCGTCTCCGCTCCCACTCCAGTAATCTGACCCCGTGGGCCCCTCCGGGCAGTCTGGGGAATTAAGCGGGGCCGCGCACGCTGCCCACGCCCAAAAATTATTTTTACAAAGCAGAAGACTGTAGAGGCGCCCCCCCCCCAACCCCCACCCCCCCATCCGGACTTGTACACCAACACGTGCAGGCTCCCTGTTTCTTATTTCACTCCCCTCTCTCGCCGCTCAACACGTCTCTACATAAGCGCCACACATCTTACCGGGCCATGGGAGTGGAAATCTTCTGCTCGGGCTGGTCTTTTCTGGCCCTCCACTGCGCCTACAGCTGTGGCTCCGATGTTAAAGCAGCAAGTGACATACCTTTCAACCATTAATATAAAAAAATTGTTAGTGAAGTCAACGTTTCACACCCAAATTGACACCCGCTAGTGCTCTATAACTACCACATGCTTTTATTTAACATCAAGGACGAGCTTTCAGAAGGCAAGAGCCACCAGTACTGCACCGGATATAACCCCCTTATTTTTTGTATGAGTAAATACCACGTAATACCTGTCGTATATAAAATATATAGTCCTAAGACACTGTTGGGCTGGTTTACATACCCCATCCTTTCCCAAAAATAGGAACAACAGACCAATTCTTCGACCCCATCCTGTAAAATAACCGAAACCCAGTCACCCTGTACTTCTGAATTTCCCTAACTCGTTTAAACCATTGTAATAGATTATGAGAATGTTCTCCAATCTCCTCAAAATCAACTAAGTTTGCCATATGTCTTACTGTCCTGCGTGTTGAGGGATGTGATTACCCCCAGGAGGGAGCCCGTCCACTCGATTATCTGAATTAAATAATCATCTAAAGCTGACCATATCTAACAAGTGCCATATACCTCCTCTGACCAGTTGCCAATTTCTATATATTCTCTTTTCCGAAACCGGTAGGGGAAAGCTATTCATGCTTTCCAGTGGCATTCGTGATGTCTGCCGCGGAGACCTTCTCTTTGATTACCAGGGTCTCTTACATGGGACCACTGACATTTTGCTATACATAATTCTTTGTGTTGTGGGGTGTTCTGTGCATTACATAACAGTACCCCTGGGCTCCACCCACTAGATGCTGCTAGTACTCCTCCACCCCAGGTATGGCTACCAAAAACGCAGTCACAGCCATTGCCAAACGTTCCCTGGGACACAACTGTCCCCATTTGAAAGCCATAGATGTAAGTTGTGCTATTTATTCACTCAAATAATATAGATTGAAACGTTTTTTTCTTCACGAATTTCACCAGGATATGCATTAAGAAATATACTGGGAATGTATTTTTTAAATGTAGGGCTGGGCATGGTAGCTCACGCCTGTAATCTCAGCACTTTGGGAGGCCGAGGTGAGCAAATCATGAGGTCAAGAGTTCGAGACCAGGCTGAAACCCCTGTCTCTACTGAAAATACAAAAAATTAGCTGGGTGTGGTGGCACACGCCTGTGGTCCCAGCTACTCAAGAGGCTGAGGCAGGAGAATCGCTTGAACCCAGGAGGTGGAGGTTGCAGTGAACCAAGATTGCACCACTGCACTCCAGCCTGGGCAACAAGAGCAAAACTCCATTTAAAAAAAAAAGGTAGGATAATATCAGAAACCGTAGGTCTTTCCTGGAGTCCTATCTCAGAAGTAAAAAACCAGATACATGATATGCCCTTTCAGGTTTTATTTGCAAGTTAACTTTAAATCTTGCATTTGACTTAAGATTTTTAAAATCTGATTTTCTTTTTATAAATTGTTAATACTGATTTGATAAAACTTGATACAAATATCAAACTAGCACTCATTTTGAATAAAAAAAACCTTTAAAGGTAATGTCAACTCTGGATGGAACAAGAGTGCTTCTTAAATACTAAAAAACATAACCAGTTATGGTGTTAAGTCAGTACAGAAACACTCTAAATAAAATCTAAACTTAGGTTCTGAAGACAAACTCCCCCAAAGCAAGGATAAATAAGTGATTCTTCACTGGCCACAATAGTTTAATGGCACTCGATGCCCAAGATATAGAATGAAACCCCTGCATAATGATGATGTTGGACGAGAAAAATCACCCCGATTTTACAAACAAGTGAAAGCCATGAAGATTTATTGTACAATTATGCAATCCTTTTTTGTACAATTATGCAATCCTTTTTTTGCGGGGGGGGGGGGGGGGGGGGGGGGGGGGGGGGGCGGGAAGGGGACAGGATCTTTCTCTGTTGCCCAGGCTACAGTGCAGTTGCAGTCATGACTCACTGCAGCCTCAACCTCCCAGTTTCAAGTAATTCTCCTGCCTCAACCTCCCAAAGTAGCTAAGACTACGACACCCAGCCTTTTTTTTTTTTTTGTATTTTTTGTAGAGTTAGGGCTTTGCCATGTGCCAAGGCTGGTCTCGAATTACTGGGCTCAAGCAATCCTCCCACACTGGCCTCCCAAAAATCTGGGATTACAGGCTGAGCTATCACACCCAGCCTTCAGTTATACGTTTCAAAGAAAATAAAATAATTTCCATTATATTCATTTCTTCTTTCACTCATCTAAATACTTATTGGGCATGTACTGTGTGCACTGGTGCTAGGTGCTGGGGATCCAGAGTGAACGAGCCAGACAAGGTGCTGCCCTTGTGGACCTTAAATTCTATTTAGGGAAGAAATAAACAGGTAAACAAACGCCAGGTTACCTGCAGAAATGGACACACCTGGTAACAGATACACGGGAAAACACTGGCCTCAAGTGATCCGCCCCCCTCTGGTTCCCAAAGTGCTGGGGTTACTGTTCCTGGCCTCTGTCCCTGCATCTTTATGTGCCTGCAACACCAAGAGGGAGCTCTTGGCCCCTGGATTAAGGTCAGGGCCCCAGAGGCCCAGGGTCAAGGCTATGGCTGCATCCTAAGGACAAGAGGCTGCATTGACAGGTATGGAAGAGGCTCTGCTGAGGCCTCCTTGAATTCCTGCTGGGGAAAGCAAGTGGAGGTGCTCCTTGAAGAAACAGGGGGATCCCACCGATCTCAGGGGTTCTGTTCTGGCCTGCGACCCTGGATCGTTCAGCCTGGGCCGGGATGGGGAGCAGACCTCGCCCTTCTTAGCTGGGGCTGAGGGTGAGGGTCCCGTTTCCCCAAAGGCCTAGCCTGGGGTTCCAGCCGCAAGCCCCCCTGGGCAGCGCCCAGCCTCGCCCCGCCCCGCCCCTCCAGGCCTGGCACTCGTCCTGAACCAAGATTGCGCCGATAGCCTCGGGGGCGTCACGCCACCTGCCCGTGTCTCCCGACCCGCCCTAGGGGCACCTCCTGCGCTGCTCTTAACCCCGCAGATGGTGGCCGAGCGTGAGAGCGGGAAGCATGGCCTGGAGGACGGCGGTGGCCTGGGTGGCGCTCGGCCGCTGTTGTGGGGCTGCGCGCTGGCGCTGCAGGGCAGGATGCTGTACCCCCGGGAGACCCCGTCGCGGGAGCGCAAGGAGCTGGACGGCCTCTGGAGCTTCCGCGCTGACTTCTCCCACAACCGACGCCGGGGCTTCGAAGAGCAGTGGTACCGGCGGCCGCTGCGGGAGGTGCGATCTGGGGGCAGGGCCGGGAGGCGCCCGGAAGCCCGGCGATGGGAGTGGGGGAGCCCGGGCCCCCCCGCAGGCTCCTTCCCCTGGGCTTCCCGGAGCTGGGGGCCCGCAGGAGGTTAAAGGTCAACGGGCTTAGGGGGCGTGGGGTTGGGGGAGGTGGGAACGGAAGCACCCTGGAGGGCCGGGGTGGAGGAGGCAGGAGGAGGAGAAAAGGCTCCTGCCCAGCCCCTTCCTGAGGCGAAGGCTGAGCTTGGGCAGTGTCCTTCCTTTTAATATTTATTTTTAATTAAAAAAATTTTTTTTGAGATTGGATTTGCCCCTGTCTCCCAGGCCGGAGGGGAGTGGCGCCATCCTAACTTCTGAGCTCCAGCAGTTCTCCCGCCCCAGCTTTGCAGTTTAGCTGGGGCCACCACGCCTAGCTAAGTGAAAACACACACACACACACACACACACACAACCTTATCCAGGCTCGGTGGCTCACGCCTGTTATCCCAGCACTTTGGGAGGCGGAGGCGGGTGAATCACCTGAGGCCAGGAGTTTGAGACCAGGCTGGCCAACATAACATGGTGAAACCTCGTCTCTACTAAAAATATAAAAATTAGCCAAGTGTGGTGGCTCACGCCTGTAATCCCAGCACTTTGGGAGGTCGAGGCGGGTGGATTACAAGGTAGGAGATCAAAACCATCCTGGCTAACATGGTGAAACCCCGTCTCTACTAAAAATACAAAAAAATTATCTGGGTGTGGTGGCGGGCGCCTGTAGTCCCAGCTACTAGGGATGCTGAGACAGGAGAATGGCATGAACTGGGGAGGCGGAGGTTGCAATGAGTCCGAGATCCCGCCACTGTACTCCAGCCTGGCAACAGAGCAGACTCCGTCTCAATAAATAAATAAATAAATAAATACTCACTCCGTTACCCAGGCTGGTCTCAAACTCCTGGCCTCAAGCCATCCTCCCACGTTGACCTCCCAAAGCGCTGATTACAGTCATGAGCCACCCAGACACTTGTCAGGCCAGAGCGACAGGCGCTGCACAGAACTGGGCCCGGGGATCGGGAGGAGGGGACAGTTTAGACATCCTGAAGTCAGCTCTGCTGAGGAGGGAAGGTCCCTTGGTTTTCATGGTTCAGATAGAGGACAGGACCTGACATCAGGCCAAGGACGCGACCCCTGTTCCCCTCCTGACTTGGATGTGGTCAGCAGAGAAGTGGGACCCGGTGAGGTCTATATCCTCTTTTTCCGACTTTGCAGCATTCAGTACAGGAGGGAGAGAGGAGGGGGCTGGGTGCCAGTGTGCGCCCCACTCACAGTGTCCTAAGCAAAGTTCCCCCCTATCCCCCCAACCAGCCTTCCTCCCTGTGACAGGCAGTGGGCCATCTGCCTCTTAGTCACGGGTCTGAACCTTCTTGCCTCTGGCTGGGATGTGGCCCTGGGCTCGCTCCTGTCTCAGGAGATATTGGGCCCCATCCACTCTGAGGAGGAACTCCTGGCTCCCCTGGCCCAGGTGCACGAACCGCCCTGGCAATTGACCTGTTATCAGCAAGTTATCTGTCTGTTCCACCAAGAGTCCTCACAATGTGTCAGGGCTTTTGCACTAAGCCTGGGACACAGCTGTGCAGCACACTGGTCCCGGATCCCTTTGGGGGCCTAGGAGCTGAGCCCAGCCCTTCTCTCCACAGTCAGGCCCCACCCTGGACATGCCGGTTCTCTCCAGCTTCAACGACATCAGCCAGGACTGGCGTCTGTGGGATTTTGTCGGCTGGGTGTGGTATGAACGGGAGGTGATCCTGCCGGAGCGATGGACCCAGGACCTGAGCACAAGAGTGGTGCTGAGGATTGGCAGTGCCCACGCCTATGCCATCGTGGTCAGTGCGGTCAGGAGCAGGCAGGGTGGGTGGGCACGGCTGTTGCACGGCATGGGACCCCCAGCTGCCACCCACAGCCTGTCTGCCAGGGTGGGATGGTGAGGTGGCCTGATCTACCCCATTGGAATGCCATTCTTCCTGTCTGGTGGGCAGGACCCAGAGCCCCATGCTGCAGGTTATATGAGGGAGTGCCTGATAGCAGGGCCCCTCCTCATGCCCTGACCTGCCACCCCCTCCCCATGTCTCCTGTGTCTGCAGTGGGTGAATGGGGTCGACACGCTAGAGCATGAGGGGGGCTACCTCCCCTTTGAGGCCGACATCAGTAACCTGGTCCAGGTGGGGCCCCTGTCCTCCCAGCTCCGCATCACTATCGCCATCAACAACACACTCACCCCCACCACCCTGCCACCAGGGACCATCCAATACAAGAACGACACCTCCAAGTGGGTACCATCCTGCTTCCATTGCACGCACCCACCTTCCCGCCCCACCCCATGGTCTTCCTGCTAGGGACAGGGTGGCCTTTGCAGAGTGGAGGCCCTGGATCTGGGGAGGCTGGGAAGGCATGTGAGCTGAGGTCAAGGGACCCAGGGTAAGGGCCCAGTGAACCACAGTCCTCCCACTCTAGCTATCCCAAGGGTTACTTTGTCCAGAACATATACTTTGACTTCTTCAACTACGCGGGACTGCAGCGGTCTGTGCTTCTGTACCCGACACCCACCGCCTACATTGATGACATCACCGTCACCACCAGCGTGGAGCACGACAGTGGTGAGGGCTTTTGGTAGGATCCTCCCTCAGCGGGGCCCAGGGTGGCTCTGTTTGTTCCCTGTTTGGAAAGCTCTCCCAGGAAAAAGGTGCTCCCAGCATCTCTAAACCCTCACAGGTTCCCATCCACCTACAAAGCTAAATTCCAGGCTGTCTGAGTGGGCACAGGCTCCCGAAATCACCCGTGTGGTTGACCTCCCTTGGAGAAGAGGGGTCTGGCCTAACGTCACACAGCTCAGGGTGGCAGTCGTGTCCCTTCGCCACTGTGCTGCTCTCACTCCAGCTCCCCTTGCTACACATCATGTTCAAGGAACAGGCAGCTTCGGGGGGCCGGGCACGGTGGCTCACACCTATCATCCAGCACTTTGCAAGAAGGCCCTGGTAGAAGGATCACTTGAGGCCAGTAGTTCAAGATCAGCCTGAGCAACATAGCGAGGCCATCACCACAAAAAATTAAAAAATTAGCCAGGCATGGGGATGCATGCCAGTAGTCCCAGCTGCTGAGGCAGGAGAATCACTTGAGCCTGGGTGCAGTGAGCTATGACCATGCCACTGCACTCTGGTCTGGGCAACAGAGGGAGACCCTGTCTTTCTCTCTTTCTCTCTCTCTTTTTTTGTTTTTTGAGATGGAGTCTCTCTCTGTCGCCAGGCTGGAGGGCAATGGTGCGATCTCGGCCCACTGCAAACTCTGCCTCCTGGGTTCAAGTGATTCTCCTGCGTCAACCCCCCGAGTAGCTGGGATTACAGGCATCCGCCACCAGGCCTGGATAATTTTTGTATTTTTTTTTAGTAGAGACGGGGTTTCTACTAAACCCTCTACTAAATCATGTTGGCCTGATTGGTCTTGAACTCCTAACCTCAGGTGATCCACCCTCCTCAACCTGCCAAAGTGCAAGGATTACAGGTGTGAGCCACCTCACCCAGCTGGGATACACTGTGTGCTTTTTTTGTTTTTGTTTTGTTTGTTTGTTTGTTTGTTTGTTTTTTGAGATGGAGTCTTGCTCTGTTGCCCAGGATGGAGTGTGGTGGCATGATCTTGGCTCAGCAACCTCTGCCTCCCGGGTTCAAGCAATTTTCCTGCCTCAGCCTCCCGAGCAGCTGGGACCTCAGGCGTGTGCCACCATGCCCAGCTAATTTTTGTATTTTTAATAGAAACAGGGTTTCACCATGTTGGCCAGGCTGGTTCGAACTCCTGACTTCTGGATCCACGTGCCTCAGCCTCCCAAAATGCTGGGATTACAGGTGTGAGCCACCACACCTGGCCTGGGATATCCTGTATTTAAGAAAAATCTTTGTTTTAAGTTTTTTCTTTTTTAAAAATAGGTCTTTTTCTCTTTCTGAGATGAGGCCTTGCACTGTGGCCCAGGCTAGAGTGCAGTGGTGAGACTACTGACAGCTGTTGTGGGGCCGCAGTTCTAAGTTTAAAAGAATTTAGGCTGGGTGTGGTGGCTAATGCCTGTCATCCCAGCACTTTGGGAGTCCAAGGTAGGCAGATTGCTTGAGCTGCAAAGTTCGAGACCAGCCTGGGCAACATAGTGAGACCCTGTCTGAAAAAATAAATAAATAAAAAAGAATTGAAAGAAGAATCACACAGCCAAGGCGATGGAGCATAGAGCAATTTATTGCCCAGGAAAAGTGTTTTGGAAGTAAAGTTTAGAATAGCCTGGGTGCAGTGGCTCATGCCTGTCATCCCAGCACTTTTGGAGGCCGAGGCGGGTGGATCACTTGAGCTCAGAAGTTCAAACCAGCCTAGCCAACATTAGCTGGGCATTGTGGTGTGAGCCTGCAATCCCGCTACTCAGGAGGTTGAGATGGGAGAATTGCTTGAACCCGGGAGGTGGAGGTTGCAGTGAGCTGAGATTGCAACACTGCGCTCCAGCCTGGGTGACAGAGCGACACCCCAACTCAAAAAAAACAGTGAAGTGCAAAACACACGGTTCACCCTGAGACACAGAATTCAGGACAGGCTGCTCGTAAGGATGAGACAGCGCCGATTCTTACTGGGGAAACTCCCTTTCTGGGAGTCTTCCATGATGAATTCCTAAGGAGCTGGGAAGAGGTGTTACTGTAAGCACGTTCTGGGCTGTCCTCTGGGTGCTGCACATGCGCAGTAGCTGTACATGCGTGTTCACACGTCACGTGTCTCAACGCCGTGGCTGGCATGTCCAAAGGACACAGTCACTTCTTGACTACCTACCCTGCCTCAAGATCATAGCTCACTGCAGCCCCGAACTCCTGGCTCAAGCAGTCCTCCCACTTCAGCCTCCCAAGTAGCTGGGGCTGCTGGGACTGCAAGCACGCACCAGCACGCCCGGCTGATTGTTTGTGTTTTTAGGGAAGAAGTGGTTTCCCTGTGTTACCCAGGCTGGTCTTGAACTCCTGGGCTCAAGCGATCCTCCCACCTCAGCCTCCCCAAGTGTTGGGATTACAGGTCTGACCCCTGTGCCTGGCCAAAAAATATCTTATTTTCAATTAAAAAAAGTACTGGGTGCGGTGGCTCACACCTGTAATCCCAGCACTTTGGGAGGCCAAGGTGGGTGGATCACCTAAGGTCAGGGGTTCTAGAGCAGCCTGGCCAGTATGGCAAAACCCCATCTCTACTAAAGATACAAAAATTCACCAAGCATGGTGATACAAGCCTATAATCCTAGGTACTTGGGAGGCTGAGGCAGGAGAATCACCTGAACCCCAAAGGTGGAGGTTGCAGTAAGCTTCCAGCCCGGGGGACAGAGTGAGACTCCATCTCAAAAAAATAATTAAAAAATTAACTTTAAAAAAAGCAACAGAAGCAAATGGCTGCCTGGCAGCGGTGGCTGCAGGGCACTCCCGTTTGTGCCACTCAGGTCGTGTCCCTCCCTCAGCCCTGCTCTCTCTCGTTTCTCGCAGGGCTGGTGAATTACCAGATCTCTGTCAAGGGCAGTAACCTGTTTGAGTTGGAAGTGCGTCTTCTGGATGCAGAAAACAAACTCGTGGCGAACGGGACAGGAACCCAGGGCCAACTGAAGGTGCCGGGTGCCAGGCTCTGGTGGCCATACCTGATGCACGAACGCCCCGCCTATCTGTACTCGTTGGAGGTAATGGTGGTTTGGGGCTTGCCCAAGGGAGGTCTTTTGCCCGCATCTGGTGACCTTGGCTTCAGCAGGAGCCCAGGACAGGTGAACGGGCAGCGTGGTCCTCTGAGCTTTCTGATGTTTCTCACCCTTGGTGGGAGGCCCAGTTTTTTTTGTTGTTGTTGTTTTGTTTTTGAGATGGTCTCACTCTGTCACCCCAGCTGGAGTGCAGTGGCCTGATCACAGCTCACTGCAGCCTTGAGCTCTCAGCCTGCAGCAATCCTCCTACCTTGGTCTCCTGAGTAGCTGGGACTACAGGCACATGCCGCCATGCCTGGCTAATTAAAGAAAAAATTTTTGTAGGCTGGCCATGGTGGCTCATGCCTATAATCCCAGCATTTTGGGAGGCTGAGGCAGATGGATTACTTGAGGCCAGGAGTTTGAGACCAGCCTGGCCAACGTACTGAAACCCCATCTCTACTAAAAATATGACAATTTGCTGGGCATGGTGGTGCACACCTGTAATTCCAGCTACTTGGGAGGCTGAGGCAGGAGAATTGCTTGAACTCAGGAGGCAGAGGGTGCAGTGAGCTGAGATCACACCACTGCAGTCTAGCCTGGGGGACAGAGTGAGACGGTCTCAAAAAAAAAAATTTTTTTTTAATAGAGATGGGTTGCAGTCTGTCGCCAGGCTGGTCTTGAGTTCCTGGACTCAAGTGATCCTCCTGCCTTAGCCTCCAAAAGTGTGAGAACTCCCGGCATGAGCCTCCTTGTCTGGTCAAGGGGAAGGCCCCAGGGAAGGCCCCATTTTGAAGGGCACTTCCCCAGGGTCAGCCAGGGAAGGGCAGAGCCTCTGATTGCTGCATCTCTGCTTATAGGCCCAGGGGCACCTGCTGGGGTGCACGAGGGGCCTTCCTGGCAGAGGGCTCAGGCTGTTGGGGTGCTCACACCTGGTGCTTTGGTTGTTGTAGGTGCGACTGACTGCACAGACATCACTGGGGCCTGTGTCTGACTTCTACACACTCCCTGTGGGGATCCGCACTGTGAATGTCACCAAAAGCCAGTTCCTCATCAATGGGAAACCTTTCTATTTCCACGGCGTCAACAAGCATGAGGATGCGGACGTGCGTTGGGGCTCCTGGGTCCTTGTGGGGGCTGCTTCTGGTCACCCTCCACTTTCACCTTCCCTGTGTCCTGCAGTTGAGGGCAGCTCAGGGCAATGAGGCAAATGGCTCCAAATGGAGAGGGGACTCGTGGGGTGGCTCTCCAGGGTCCTGGCTCTTGGAGAAAGTGCACCTTTGACAGGGACGGGTCATTCAGTTCTGTTGTCCCGTAGATCCGAGGGAAGGGCTTCGACTGGCCGCTGCTGGTGAAGGACTTCAACCTGCTTCGCTGGCTTGGTGCCAACGCCTTCCGCACCAGCCACTACCCCTACGCTGAGGAAGTGCTGCAGATGTGTGACCGCTATGGGATTGTGGTCATCGATGAGTGTCCTGGCGTGGGCCTGGAGCTGCCGTGAGTTCCTGCTGTGCACCTGCTCCACCTGCCCAGCCCGTGGGCTGCACCATGACCCTCTGTCCCTTCCCTCCTGGCCTGCAGGCAGTTCTTCAACAACGTGTCCCTGCAGAACCACATGCGGGTGATGGAGGAAGTGGTGCGCAGGGACAAGAACCACCCCGCC